AGACTGGGGTTTTTTGTACATTAAAAAATGTGTTTGGGAGCACTTGAATGCTTCTTCACTGTATATTATTGATGCAAGAAATTAATTTATACATTGCTAAATGAAGAATTACTTGGAACAGAGCTTTCAAATATGATAGGTTTTTAAGATGTTCTTTTGCATCATTTTAAAGGAAATGTAAAATCCACTTTACTCATCCATGAAGGGGTGGAGGAAAGGTAATGTTTTTCATGAGGGTCAGCAGTATGAGAGATCTAAATTGATGGGTGATTGACACATTTTTACTCCTAGGGCCAAAATTAAGGAACTTTAGGATCCCACCGTAGTCAATGGATATATTTAAATACATGCTTTAAGCTACCTTTTAAATCAATGAGATTTAAAGTGCTTAACTTTAACTGAGTCTTGCCCTTAATAATTTTATAGTATATACCCAAAATGTAATGTGCAAATAAAGAAAACATGTTTGGGATTACAAGTCACTGAAAAGTTGGGATTAGCAGCAGCTCCCTGTTGAATCTGTTGGCAAATTTAGGTTTACTGTTAAATTATGTGTGTCAGTGGCCCAAAATTAAGACTGATTTTTCTATTTACAGATTTCAATAACAAAAGCTAGTGTAATAATAATATTTTAAAAAATCTTCTCTCCTTGGGTTATTTATCTTGGCAAATATTTAATTTGCTTATATATAGTAAAGGTAAAGGTTCCCTTGCTCGAAAGCCAGTCGAATCCAACTCTAGGGTTGCGGTGCTCATCTCCGTTTCAAAGCCGAAGAGCCAGCGCTGTCCGAAGACATTTCCGTGGTCATGTGGCCGGCATGACTAAACACCAAGGCGCACGGAACGCTGTTACCTTCCCACAAAAGTGGTACCTATTGATCTACTTGCAATTTCTTGCTTTCGAACTGCTAGGTTGGCAGGATTGCTTCTATATATATGAAAACCTATATATATATTCAATGTGTGCTTATGGTGTCTTAAACCATCATTTAGTCTAACAGACTTTTGGGTACTAGAGCCTGCACAACAGATGAAATGGGCTGTGGTTAGCCTCTTAGGTGTAACCAGATCTCTGTTTAATTGTGGCTGCAGCAAACTCTAACATGACTACTCCTTTGCAATGTATGTTTAGCACATGTTGGTATGGAAGCATTTTTGTTGTGATTCGTGCGCAAAATTGACAACAGAGATATTTCAGTGTTAGTACAGCCAGCTTCTAAGGAGGCTTGCTTCCTTTGTTTCCCCCTTTTCCGCCTCTCTCAGTATGGATGCAAGAACTGTGGCCGAGCGTTCTGTTCTGGCTGCCTTGGATTCAGTGCAAATGTTCCCCGTTGTGGAAACACTCAACAGAAGGTGTGCAAGCAATGCCATAAGGAATTAACCAGGTGAGAACACAGCTGTGGTGCTGACTGGTGTGTCTGTACAAGGTTTTTTCCCTCCATTTCCTCTGTTAAGGTACAGGAACTGGCTTATGTGAATTGTCACTTGGTGCTAGCTGGATAAAAAGACACTTGTTCCTTCTGCAACTGCAAACAAACAAAAGAACAATGGTGTAATGGGAAGGGGAATACTTTACTCTGTTGTAATGCCCCTGTGTGTTTTACATAGGCTTCTTCAGGGTGTCTGTAAAAATGTAATTAAAAAAAGTTATTGTTAAAAAGCAGAATTAAGAAACTTAGGTTAAAAAAGGCAATAATCACCGAGAATGTGAAAATTACATAAATATATATCCAGAACTACAAATCCACGAACATGTTTCAGGTATTCTACAGGTGCAATAAAAGGATATTACACAGAGTATGCACGGGTGGAAACATAGCTCTTGAAATAAAAACTATAGAGATCACTCTAAAATTAAGAAAAATATACAGCTAAGCTGCAAAATTGTATAATCAAAGCAGTTCCCACAGCAGCAGAGCTTCAGAGAGAAAAGCCTGATGGTCTGGCTCAGTTTTTATATCATATGAGAGATAGCAACTGAAGGCTTTTATTCCCATGAAGGACCATCTCAAAATCTATTTTGCCTAATTTTTTCAATAACATTTTATCCTTTAGGCATTCTGATATGAAAATAGCCCACAATGTAAAGTCCATTGGACCACAGCTGTGCTCTAGAAGGTGCTGAACCAAAGGGGCACTTGTTCTTTTTAAAGATGAATATTACTTTTGGGTTCTGCAGTACATATTTTAATTTTCTCAAGGTCTTGTCAACATACAGCTTATCAAAAGGACATCTAACAAAATATACTCCCCCAGGGGTCCCCAAACTTTTTGAGCTTGTGGGCATCTTTGGAATTCTGATACAGGGTTGCTCTTTTGTTTTTTTGCTCTGTCTTTAGTATGGCCATCTTCCCCTGTACCTTCTGCATCTGTGTATTTTCTGGACAATGCTGCTGTTGTCTGGAAAGACTCTCAGATGTAGTAACTTAAACTAGGTGTCACACAGCCGGAACCTACGATCTAGTCTTCTGAGGCTCAAGTATAAATGTGGCCAACATTCTTAGCACTTAAAAGTGGCTATATTAGACTTCTAATTTAATTGTAGTTCTTAAAGTGACTGTGATCTGGTTGACAGAAACATGAACCTGGGAGTCCCAAATTGTTCACATATTGTCTCTGCTAAGGGTGATTTATGTAGCCTTGAACAAGTCAACATCCATTCCTCTTTTTTGCATCATGAAAACAATGTAACTAGCTACTGAGTAGAGCCATTAGGATGAACACAGTGTAGATGGCTAAGCACTTTGCAAACTGAAAGAGCAATATAAATAGCAGAAGGCACTGTGGACAGTGGTTATAATTTAATCCTAAGAGATGAGGCTGGCCCAGTTTTCCAAACTTGTCTGGAGGACAAGCAGCAGGGTACAGGCCTCGAAAGCAGAGAAGGTAGGTAAGAGGGAACCTTCCCTTTCCTCAGCCTCTCTTCCAACTGCCAGCCCCCTACTTGATCATTCACAGAGGCCTCCTTGCTCCCAGTTTTCCACCCATTTTAGTGAAGCACTTCAATAGTTTGCATACAGATTCTAATAATTGCCTGGCAATCAAGTTTGGTGTAGTGGTTAAAGTGCGCGGACTCTAATCTGGGAGAACCGGGTTTGATTCCCCACTCCTCCACTTGCACCTGGCTGGATGAACTTGGGCAAGCCGTAGTTCTGATAAGAGCTGTTCTTGAAAAAGAGCAGTTTCTGTCAAGAGCTCTCTCAGCCCCACCTACCTCACAGGGTGTCTGTTGTGGGGAGGGGAAGGGAAAGGAGTTTGTAAGCCGCTCTGAGACTCCCTTGGGTAGTGAAGGGCAGGGTATAAATCCAATCTCTTCCTCTTCTTCTTCATGGGTATAGTCATAATAAAACTCATATCAGTCATTTATATTATCTAGGCTTCATAGATAAGTAATTCAGAATGTTCTGGTCATTTTATATACCCACTTTGTAGTATCTTCTAATATCTTTATTGTGACATGCAATTATTCTGAAACTGCAATAATGCATTTCCTAATCAAGGTTTCCTGGCATCCTTGAATTCAGAGAATCTCAGTGGCATCCTAAGCAGAGTTATACATTTTGAATCCCACTGACTTCATTGTATTTAGAATGGTGTAACTTTGCTTGGTATGGCAGTGTAAGAATCCTCAGTCTACTGGCTGCATCCCCTGGTTGAGTGCAGGAAAGGGCTCTGGAAACGTGATGCTTCTTGTAATGTAATGCTAAGATCTAGTTCTTACAAACGGAGGAGGAGGAGGTAAACTTGTTTCTGGACAGTATATCTTCAGACTGTAAAGTGGGGGTTCGCATGGCTGAGTGCTTCACAATACCAAGAAAAATTTCCTACCTCTAGAAAGCTGGCATGTTGGGAAGAAGCCGAGGCTAGAACCCTTCTTCTGGGATGCTTCCACAAAAGGGAGTTTTATTGTCCTCATCATGTTCTCAGTGCAGTTCGCACTTGCAGTGGAGATTCCATATAGCCCAGCGTTAATCCATTCACGGTGTTTTCCCTTCCACGCCAGGCAGTACCATCATCCTCTCCCTCCATTGCTGCCTCTTCTCTGTCAGGAATCCCTGCCCACCCCCTTTTTCAAAATTTTTGGGTGCATGTGTAGTGCTGAATAGGAATTGAGCAATACCACTAGCCTTTAAAAATAAGCTTTTGCATAATTAGATAGTGCTGTTCAGGAACAACACAAAACTTAAAGCTTCCCTACTCTTGTATTTGCCTGCCTTTTGTAGCCCTGACCTGGATAGCCCAGGCTAGCCCAATCTCGTCCCGTCTCGCAATCTAAGCAGGGTCAGCCCTCGCTAGTTATTTGGATGGGAGACCAAGGAATACCAGGATTGTGATGCAACCTCTGAATGTGTCTTGCCTTGAAAACCCAACAGCACTTTTCACCAATATATTCTAGCACAACCACCACCTCCCCACAATAAATGCACTTCTTCTTAGTTTGCTACATTTCAGCACCAGGCAGGAGATGGTGGGTGATTTCCACCTCCCTTTTCAGGGGAAATTACAGCCCTGGGAAACTCATGGGGTGAACCCCCTGCCCCTTAATGAATAAGTTACCCTCTCCCAGGTTCAGGGCTGCATTTCAGTGCTGGGTAGGAGGCTCTGGGTGATTTCCCCCCACACCTTTCTGAGTTAATTACTGGCACTGGGAAACATATGTAAAATTGTGATTTTGAATTGCTGCAGTTGAATAGCAGCACTACTACAATATTACAGAGACAAAACTGTAGAAATATAATGGACTAGAAATAATGCCCGTTGCGGAAATAAATACAACGGGATCTAGAAAGAGGCTCTGGGAGAGTGCTCTGGCTTTGGGCAAACAGTGTCAGTTTCCTGTGGCGACCTCAGCAGGGTTTAATGACAGAGTCCACTGTTTTCTCCAGAGGGACTGATCTCTGCTACCTGAAGAGCATTTGTATGTTTGAGTTATCTGTAGCCCTCACCTGGAGAGTGGTAACCATTGTTACCCATTCTCCTCTCCCCTATGAGGTATGTTATGCAACTGAAAATTCCAACTGCCTTGCGGGGGGGGGAGTTTGAGGTGTGGAATGGACTGAAGTCCAATCAGCTTCCATATGCAAAAGACCAGGTTGTCGCAGCAGTTGTGGTGTGGGCGGGACCCGGGCTTTGCCTTCTGATTGGTGGCGATATATGCTGAGGTGCAGTGCCATCAGCCATACACTAAGGGAGTGCATTTTAGAATTAGAACTTTGGCACCCACTATTCAATTATATATAAGGAGAGATAGGTGGAGGATGGGAAATGTTTTTTTGTATTGAAACTGAAGGAATATGTTCCATTTGTGAATCTTTTCTTTCCAGTCCCCTATCCCTCTTTGTTCTTAGTGCTCAGATCTACACAATATAACATAGTGCAATTGTGCTGTTCTGCATTAAACATTTTTTAAAACCAGCATATTTAGAAAAGCCTAAGTATAGCCGTCTCTTCCCCTGCAGTTGTGACTTGTCAGTGAAACTGAGAGAGATTTTTAAAAGTAAAAAAATCCCAATTGTCAGGTGGAGGAAAGGGCAAGGAGACGATCCCTTTAACTGAAACCAAAAATGTGCTTCCCATTCTGGACACAACGGAAAGAATGCCCCAGCCATGTGATGCAGGGAAAAGCTTTTTTCCCCCTAGGTTTTAATAAAGCATTCCTTTTAGAGAAAGAAAAGGGCTGCCCACAGTTGGGGCATGAATGCAGGACAATGTCATGTGGAAACAGGAAAAAACAATGCACAAGTTGGGTGGCTGAAATGGGGAAAGAGCTCCATGTAAAAGCAGCCCTGGACAGCTTTCTGTGAGGAGGAAGGGGTGGGTTTGTTTGTTCGTTTTATATGATGGAGAATTCAGTCATGTAGTCCTATTACCTATAGTCTGAAGGACACAGTTAAGAAACGGTTTACCATGTGATCTATAGTTTGTGAGGACTAGACTTGTGTCAGGCTTCTCATAAGACTGAAAGCAAAGACAAGGTATTTCCTGCCACTGTAAATAAAGCATTCCATATTCTGCCCTTGTGACCTTTCTCATTTGTTTTTTAGTGGACCACCTCAGTCCAATGCAGCTAAATGGTCCCCACCAGAGAACTATAAAAAGTGAGTCCAATAACAACCTAGTTGGCTTAATTCCATATCCTGTATATGTGTGTGTATTTCTGTACATACTTTAATGTTCTGTGTCTGTTTAGATTCAGACTGAAACCAATAGTTCTGACCATTAACCCACTGTCTATAAAACTGTATATTAGTGGCAGAATTCCTAACATACTGTACAAGGAAAAGGTTCAGGTAGCTTTCCGAGTCTGATCTACAGTAGTTTTGCTTCTGAAATAGCAGTTCTCATTTCATAATGGATTAGCCATGTTTCCTGACCCCAAAACATCTTGAAGCTCAAGGAATGTTTTCCATGCTTAAAGTGCATGTCTCTTAGGCTCAGTTTCCATGTCCATTACTTGATTACTCAACATGATTCCAGCTGTATGGTTGAACTGATTTAGAAAAGATGGCCATGACGTGTGGTGATACAAACAGTCTGCTCTGGTGATCGATCTGCGATGGTTAACTCATTCCTATAAGCCCTAATTTGATGGTGCAGTCATCAAGTTATCAGGTTTTAGAAGATTGATGGGCTTCCGATCTCCTGCTCTAACACATACCACTGTGGTTTAGTGGTTAGTCTAGGCCTACGAAGATGGAAATTTAAATGCCTACTTGGCCATGAAACTCACTAGGTGACTTTGGGACAATCACACTTTCTCAGCCTAACCTTTCTGACAGGCTTTATTGTGAGGACAAAATGAGGAAGGATAGATGCACGCATACCACTCCGAGCTTCTTGGAGTAAGGATGGGATAAAAATGTGATGGAAGAACAGAAGGCTTATGCTGGTTGTTCTTCTTGCAGGCGTGTCGCTGCCCTTGAGGCCAAGCAGAACCAGCCGCAGGGTCCTCAGAAGGGCTTGGTGAAATCCCAAAGTCAAATGGACTCCAGGTATCGAGGGCTATCCAAAGAGGATCGAGCTATAGCAGAGAGACTGGAGAGGCTCAAGAAGGAATCAAAATCCAGTGAGTCTAGTTATACTTCCTTCCTGCCAGATGTTATATTGAACAGAGTTCAAAATATGAAAGTGGGCTGTTTGATGAATTCCCAACCTTGCTTCTATACCTGCAAGAGAAGGAGAAAAGTCAGTAGTAGTGGTCAGCCCCCATGTACATTCTTGAAAAAGCACGAGAACACAGAATGTGACTAGGGTTTTGGACTCCACTTTATTTCTTTGTTCAATAAGTAAATCTCAGGTGCACAAGCAAATTATAGGACAGGATTCCAGCAGGTGCTCATGCGGAACAAGGTCTCTCCCAGCACCTGCTTTGTCAGACCCTTCACCTGGAGGTCCCCCTGGGCCTTAGGCCTTCTTCTGTTGCTTCCTTTGCTGCTGCAGGAGGCTCAACTTGATCCACTTGTTTGAAGGTGCTGAAGGACCATTAACCCACTGTCACTGTGTTGTTTTTATTCTCCCTCATTCCTCTTTTTGCATGTATTTTTAAAATTACCCTTCTTTCCCTCTTCACTTGTATGTGGCTATGCCCTGCGACAGCCATTTTGTGGTTGGCCTTACCTCCCGTGGCAGCTATTTTGTGGTTGTGCCCACCAACCTGAATCAGAATTCCAAGGGTGCCCACAGGCTCAGAAAGATTAGGGATCCCTGCCCTGATTCAGGCTTGGGTATTTACCAGCTTGCATTTGGAAAACTAGCAGAAGTGTATTTTGAAGGATTATGGGAAGCATTCCTTTCCTTTCCTCTTGTTCTTAGCCTTCAGGTTGCAGAGGCTGGCTTGCTCGTTGTGTGGGCAGAGTCTGATGAAATATCTGACTCTGGATGGGAAGGGTGTTTGCAAGCTTTTTGGCAATCAGCAGAGGGAGCTTAAGCATTCTGAATAACTCTTTGTCTTGCAAACTGTTGTCCAATTCTCTGGCATTATCCAGACAGCAGAATTCAGATTTGAGAGTATGGAAAACATACAGACGTGGTCAGGGAGAGCAATGTCCTGTGCCAGTATGCCATATGGTCTTCAGTATCCTTGAGCTCTATTCCATCATGTAAGAATGAAAGCAAATAAAGATACAAAACTCATTTTCTTCATTGTTAATAAACCCATTTGCTCTTCAATGCAGAGTCCGTTCCATCGCAGTCTGAAATAGAGTCCAGGCTGGCAGCATTGAAAGATGACCCTACAAAACCCATTCCGTCCACCCAAGAGATGGAAGACCGTCTGGCAGCCTTGCAGGACAGACCACGTCCCTCCCCAGCTCCCAGGCCAGTAAGATCCCCCTCTCCTTTTGTAAATAATTACCAGATACTGTTTCCTAGTGGCAACAAAAGACTAGGGAATAGCTGTCAATTCTATTGGATCTTGTGTCGCAGCTTGCAGAAGCATCTTCCTGGCAGAGTGGAAGGCAGAGAAGGATCTTTCCGTGCCTTCCCCTGGCAGCTCACTGTTGTCTTGAAAACCCTCTCTGAGGATCGGGAGAAGCTCGCAAACTAGGCACATCATGGTATAGGGTGCTGCAGCGATAAGGTAGAAACAGGAAAAATCATCTCCTGCTTCTGTTGGCCTCAGCAGAAGAAGTGGAAAGAGGCTATTTTATCAGATTTCCATTTGTTACTTCGGTGCCATGTACCATAGTAGGTTTTGTTTGCAAGGCTCTCCCAATTATCAGAAAGCGGAGAAAGATCCGTTCTGCCCATCTTCCTTTGCAGGCTTTCCATTAGATCCAATCCCATCCTTTCAAACTTCTCTTCCTTAGAAATACCTTCATAGGTTTCTGGGTGACTTCTTCTGCTGCAGAATATATGTCATGGTGTGGATTCCTTAGTTTGATGAAAGCAACGCCTACTTTGTTTCTAGAGCAAAAAAACACCTTTGAGACTCGAGGAAAGCTATTAGTAAAACTTGTATCTTGTTTTGTGCTTTGAATAAAGACCTTACTGAGGGTAAGACAATAACCCAAGATTTAAAGATGTTGTGGTATCTCTGTATTCTGCCATGGACTCTCAGTTTAGACCTTCTTCCCCCTCCCACCTCCCCCTAAAGATTAGGCACCCACAGGCAATGTTCCCTCTAAGCTGAGTTAGTGTGAGCTAGCTCATGGTTTTTTAGCCTCCAGCTCACACATTTTTGTCTTAGCTCGGGAAGGATGGCTCCAGAGCAAACTAACTTATGCAGCAGCCAAATTGCTCACTCACAACTTTATTGCCAGTAGCTCACAAAGTAGAGTTTTTGCTCATAAGACTCCACAGCTTAGAGGGAACATTGCCCACAGGATGTTGTAGAGAATTATTGTCTTACTCTGTAAGCCAGTTTGAGGCCTCTCTAAAAACCAAACTAGATAATACTGTATCTCTGAATCTATTATGGGGGTGCGGCACCAGTTTAGAGCTCATTTTTTTAACTCTTCAAAATGCTTGGTGTTGTTCACTGTCTATTAAATGTGGCCTTAACTCTTAACTGTGACCCACTGAATGCCTTGTATTGCTCGTCTAACTCTGTATATCTCACTCTCTTGCTAGGTTTACCAGCTTTCCAATACCAGGACACAAGCTGAGCAGTCAGATGACTTGCTGAATCAGATGGCTGAGGAAGTTACTATAGATCAGAGCTCGGGTGTCCTACCTCAAGGTTCTTGTTCTGTTTTCATTCTGCCTCAGTTTCATCCTGTAATGACTTCTACAAAGCTGGAACTTCCACAAAATTTTCAGAAGAGAACTTCCTTTTTATCACACCAACCCAAAAAATGTTGTAGCAAAGTTTCAGAAAATCCTAAAGACAAGGCAGATATAATATTTAAAGAGCAGTCATAGTGATTTCTTCACTTGTGGTGTGACCTTGACTTCACAATTTGTATCACAGATGTGCATTCCGATAATTCATCCATTCATGCTTTGGTGGGGAGGGGCTGTTTATTTTTATTGTTTGCGACAAAGTGACACTTGTACATTTATAACCTTATCCCTTATATTTTTTTCCTAAAGAAACATTTTAAATATAGTTGCAGAACTCTTGTCAGGATTTAACCTAGCCGTGCATGAAGGAGTCCTTGTGCCTCTTATTGTTTCCTTATGTGAGTCAATCCTGCACTGGGGTGGAGAGACCATGGAGAAGCGGTTGTGTGACCACCAAGGGTTTGGGAAGCTTAAGGAAGTCAGCTTGAGGAAATGCAAAGAAGTTTCACAGTGAGGCAAATTTGACTTGTTGCAAGCAAGACTGGAACCACAGCAAAGTGGTTGCTGCTTCCATAGCCAGGGCAAGTAAAAAAAAAGTTTGCTGTGGAAATTAGAAAAGCTGGCTGCACGTGTCTCAGAGTGCCATCATAACATTGTAGCCAGTATTGTGCCCTGTACTTTCTTCCTTAATTCCCTTTGTAGTAAGATCAACTCAGAAGCACTTTCCTTAATTCTGTGTTAACGTCTTTTGTATACTGATCAACAGTGCTTGAATGCCCACCAGTTAAGCTCAGATCCTGTTCTCTAGTCCCAAATGAGGAATGGATTTATTCGATGATTGGTCCAACTGTTGATGAGCACATTCATGGCTGTCTGACAGGCTGTTTCAGACAGTGTTAGTATAGTGTAACTGACTGTTCCTACGGCCATGGCCACCATTTGCTCTGCCATGCCATTGGAAGGCTTTTGGAGATTTTTTAAAAAAGAAAATCAATAATTGCTATTGTTATCTAGCATTCAAACAGTGTATCGCCATGATAATTTTTTTACAAAGTCTCTAGCTCTTTCCATTGCAGTTATAAGGGGAGAGGTGCAGGTATCACATTTCTCCTTATAACTCTGCAGTGGAAGGGGTTAGGGACTTTTCTTTTTTAAAAAAGGGAAACTTGAACTTCAGCAATCATGACAATACATTGTTAGAACACTATATCAGTAGAATACAATAGTAATTTTTTTTGCCATCAAGTTGCAGCCAATTTATGGTGACCCTGTGGGGTTTTCAAGGCAAGAGATGTTTAGAGGTAGTTTTGCCATTGCCTTCTTCTATGTAATAACCCTGCTATGTCTTGGTGGTTTCCCATCCAAATACTAACCAGGTCCAACCCTGCTTAGCTTCCAAGATCTGAAGCACAAGAATAATGACTGATTCAAAAAACCTCCAAAATCCTTCCAGTGGCATGCCAGGTAAAAAACACAGGGAAAACTGTGGCTTAGAGTGGATGCAGCCCTAGGTTATATAAATCAGTTTGTCTAAGTAGTCTTTAGTTAACAACTGCCAGTCTGCTTGGATTGGTAACACTTTGCACAAATGCAGTTTTGGAGAAAAAACAAAATAGTGCATCCCTGTTTGGCAGGCATTTGAGTTGTTCACTGTTAGCTGATCAGACCAAGTGATTGGCTCACATCATGTCATTTGAAGATAGACGTTGGACTGTTAAACATGTTCTACACAAAATTTGCAACATCCCTAGTGCTGATACACATTCTGGTAGATCTGTCTCATCCTTGATGGACTAGCAGGTGAATGTGTAAGACTACTTGCACTGAAATTTTAGGGGATATTTACATTGTATCTGTGATGTGTCTTTATCGTGCATGTGTGAACTCACCCTAAATCTTTGCTCTCCAGAAATCAACACACAGACTTTGAATGACTTAAATCGAACTGATGAAATCACCAGCATTGCTGATCTGGATCCCAAACATTTGGAAGAGGAGAAGAATAGACTTCTGACGGAGGCTGCTGTGGAGCTGAGGGAGGAGAACACCAGGGAGGAGAAGATTCTAGAAGTGGCCAAGCGATTGGCCATGCTCAAAGGCCAAGACCCTGAGCAAGGTACACAAGACTGTTCTGAGGAACAGAGGCTTATTTCTTTGGAAGAAGTTAATCTTTATTTAATGACTAATGGGAATTAGTCCAAGATGCAAAACCAGAACATACTGTTTCCTGTTCCCAGGATTGTGGTTATTTAGAAGCAAATAATAAAAATGAGTGGATTGCTCAAGGCACATTGGTAACAAGAACTCTTATTATTTTCACAAACGAAGCCATGAAGATACTATTCTTTTTTTCTAGCCTCAAGACAAATTCAAGACATGCTTTTGTCTTCTGTTATTTTTCAATCCTCTTCTTTCTGCCCCAGATACTCTTTTTCTCTAAAATATTTAGAACATCCCTTCAAGAAAACGCATGTGTTTTGTTTAAGTTTTTCACAGTATGGAGATAAAACATTTGTCAGCCACTAAATGTTAGTGTGTCAGGCTGCAAGTTAAAGGCACACCTGTAGTAACCTCTTGAAAAATTGGCAACTCTGGTGCCAACAGCAGGCCTTGCCTACACCGACAGTGGGAAAGTCAGATTCTATTTATTTATTTAGATTTCTTGGCCACCCTTCCCTACAAGCAGGGCTCAGGGCGGCTTACAACAAAACAGAGGCAATAAATAGTACAAGTTAAAAGTCCAATTTAAAATACCTATAACATATCAACAACTAAAACAATGCACTTCCCAAGATAGTGAAATAATTTTTTTCCCAGAGGCCACCTTGGGGGAGGGGTTGCAGAGGGTGGGAGGGTAATGAGAGTGCCAGATTTCACGCTGTCCCGTTGCTGTCCTCAGTCAAATGCTTGACACATCAGCAAGGACTAGAAAAAGACGATCTGGTATAAACACTGCTCAGCCCCCTGTAGATAGAGTGCTTAAGTGGAGGCACACACAGTGTCTCTGAAAACATGAAATGACGAGAGGCTGATTATATACATATACATACTTTTTTCCCATTGAATTGTCAATTTCACAATCTTTCTTTTACAGTTACTCTGGATGACTACAAACTCCCCAACAGCGATGAAGAAATGGAAGAGGAGGAGGCCATTCAAAGAGTTTTGAAACAGGTCTAAAGTAGTTGCCAGGCATTACTTTTGTGGTATTGTTGCTGTTGATTCCTCTCTAATGCAGTTGGTTATAACCAGAAAGCAAGGGTTTAATCCTGTCCAGGTTAGCCTTATGATAACTCTGTCCGTGGAGCATACTCTCAAAGATTTCCCCAGACTGATTCATATGTCCTGTAGGTTTTTAAAATTTATTTTTGCTTGACAGAAGGAAGGAGAAAACTCTTAAAAGACTGTCGATGCTGTAGTGTTCATTGGCACTTTTTGTAATACTGCTCAGTGGTCGCCCAAATTCCTCTCTGTCCTTAATTCTTCTGCTTGCCTGATCCTGTTCACCATTCCCAACATGTTTGGCACTTGTCATTTATCATGCAATTTAAGCTGCTACTTCTCAGTTTCAGACATCTTCATGGCCCTTGTTCATCTTCGTTCAGCTTCTCCTTATGTTCCTTCTTGTATTCTCTAGTAATCTGTGGGCCAAGAATCAGAGGATGTTCCCCACCCTACCCTACCCTCCATCCTGGAGCAATTTCTGATCCCAGGAAAGACTGTTCCTAGGATTGAAGGACTTGTGTGTACTAATAGTAGCACTGGTTGGACACATGTAACGGGGAGGGGGTGAAATTGCTCCTTTCTTTCTCTTCTGGGAGTGGAGCTCTACTGACACAAGGAGGGGAAAATAAACCAGACTGATGTTGCTATTAGTACACCTAAGTCCCTCAATCCTAGGATTAAAATTTCCTGTGATCAGAAAAGGCTCTAGCAGGTAGGAGAGGCATGGAAGTTCCTCCCTTCAGACATTTACCTGGCAACATGTCCTGTGTTCATCCTTTTTAAAAAAAACCCAAGCTAAACTCCTCTCCCTTGCATTAGCACCTTGATTTTTAATTTTTCATCTTCTTTTCCTGCCATCTGTTGATTATCTTGCTTCCTGAATTGAACACCAAAGTGTTTGTTAATCTTATTTCCCCCCTCCTATTTCTCTTTTTTTCTGTCTCATGACCTTAGAGCTGTGATCCCAAATGTGGTACCTGCGAGCACTGTGATGTCCCTCAATGTGTTTCCTGGTGCCCACTTGCTTCTTCCCCAAAGCAAAGAGCCAGTCCTGCCTTTCTTCTACCTCAGGGGAGAAGGAGGACCCCAGAAAGCATAATCACTGGGCCTGGAGGGAGTATCCATTATGATGGCATGAAATTTCCCCAAAAATTGTAATTGCCCCCTATGACAGCCATTTTATGATGGGTCCAGCCTTCCATGACTGCCATTTTGTGAATTCCAGAAGTGCCCACCATCTTAACAAGGTTGAGGACACTTGCCTTAGAGTATAATCTTGCAGTCATGGCCTTGTCAGAACCTAGCAAATTTGGGAAGGAGACAGATAAAGGTGAGGCAGAGGTAAAGCCAGTATAAGCCTGCAGTCCTCTCACAGCCCCACCATAGAGCAATCTTGGAGCAGAACTTTTTTAGGGTCTGAAGAAATATTATTTTGACCTGTTGCTGTTGGGGGGGGGGGGGGCTATACTTGTTTAGTTTTGCAGGTCTGGCTGGTTTACTTGTAATTACCTCCTTTGGCTTGAATTTGGTGAAGATGCACAGGCTGAATTTCTGGTAGATGTTTCTCACATCTAAGGTTCAGATCAAGATGGATAGCCATGTTAGCCTGTCTGTAGCAGCAGAAAAGAATAAGAGTCCAGTAGCACCAGTCCAGTAGCACCTGTGGCAGGGTATGAGCTTTTGTGAGTCACTACTTACTTCTTCAGGTGCTACTGGACTCTTGCTCTTTTCTGCATCTAAGGTTCAGGGCTCCCTGTCGACTCAACTTGACAATTATTGGTTGTAGCTGATACATAACACTTAGTACATACTACCTACGATACCAGTCATAGATGATGGCCAGATGGAGCCTCCACAAGGAACAGGGAGTTAAGGAGAATAAACAGATAATAGTCCATTCCCCCTCATGCTACATTATAATAACAACAGGTGGCTGATCTTTGGGACTACAGATGACCACTCTCAGCAATATAGCATGACACTGTATTTTTCTTTTGCAAATGGAGGTTGGAGCCAGATGAGCAGGAAGTTGCTCTCTGGAGGGTGGAAACTTCTTACAGTTTTTATTAAAACCTTTACATTCGGCTTTCCCCTCCTCCGTCCAAGAGGAGCCTGAGGGGGATGTGTGCTTTGTGCCGTCCAGGCTACTACGAGCTTTTGAGGCTTGACCAGGCCAATTTCCCATCCTACCTTTCCTTTTGTTTCTTTAGCCCAGCTGCCCCAAAGCTCCATTTTTCATGGAAGGCAATGTGTATGCTGGGTCTTAATCAGGTTGAAGGTTATGTGGGGTGGGGAGATTTTCATTGGAAAAGTAATACTGTTCTGTATACCTAGGAAATGTACACCACCAGCCCAAGTACGCAGGAACCTTTACCTTGTCTATGGGTGGTGCCACTGTTAGGGTCAGGACCATTTGACATTTGGTACTAGAAGAAGTAGTGATGATTATGTCATATGGGACAGGAAGTGCTGATCAGCCAGCATGGCAGATATTTAGAAGAAATATTGTCAGTAAATTTGGAAAACATAAGCAAAATGTGTAGAAATGTGTAGAATTGGATTTCCTGAGAATACAAGTTTTTTTAAAGCTTCACATATAGATATCAAACTAAGTCCCCCAACAATAAATGATTCTTGCTGCTAATCACTTCTCTCATACTAGAACATTTAGGTGTCTGACTCAAAACATTGAATGGTAAAGGCAATGTATGCTTTGCACAACCAGCCTGGCCTGATTAAGACTGATGGCTTCATTATCTATCAATGGCCTTATCTATCTTGAAACGAATAGAAGCATCAAATAACCTCCACTGCAAGTGTTTACATTATCTTTGGTGACTTTTGGGAATATATGAAAAACATGAATTCTTGCCAGCTAAAAGTTTAGCTAGTTGCAAGTCTGTTTATTAAACAAAAGATTAAGGGAGTAGAAGAAAGTGATTTTTGAAGAGGGACTTTTATATGAAGAAAAAGTCTTCTGTTTCCAAAGCTCTTTCTTATTTACCATCAGCTTACTGAGGAGGCAGCTCTGGATGAAGCAAGTGGTTTCAATATTACCCCAGATCGATCCACCCAGCCAGAAACTGCACAGCAGAAAACAATCAAGAAACCCAAGCAGGTGAGCAGCTAGTCAAATCCTCTGTGTGCTTCCCTTACATCTGTATGTTACTTTGAGATTAGCTAAGTACATGAAGAAGAAGGGGGAAAGGGATTTATACCCCGTCCTTCACCCCCTGAAGGAGTTTCAGAGCAGCTCACAATCTCCTTTCCCTTCCCCTCCTCACAACAGACACCCTGTGAGATAAGTGGGGCTGACAGAGCTCTCTCGAGAACTGCCCTTGAGAGAATAGCTCTGAAACAACTTGTAACTGACCGGAGGTCACACCAGCAGCTGCATGTGGAGGAGTGGGGAATCAAACCCGGTTCTCCCAGATTAGAAGAAGAAGAGATTGGATTTATACCCCGCCCTTCACTACCCGAAGGAGTCTCAGAGCGGCTTACAAACTCCTTTCCCTTCCCCTCCCCACAACAGACACCCTGTGAGGTGGGTGGGGCTGAGAGAACTCTGACACAAACTGCTCTTTTTCAAGGACAGCTGTGCCAGAGCTTGTGACTGACCCAAGGTCACATCAGCAGGTGCAAGTGGAGGAGTGGGGAATCAAACCCGGTTCTCCCAGATTAGACTCCACACACTTAACCACTACACCAGACTGACTCTCTAAGCACTATCCCAGTGATCTTCAGTGCTGCACCCATGAGTACCATAGCGCCTGCCAGTAAGGTTCCTGGTGGCCATTTGCTTCTTCAATAAAGTACCTCTCCCCAAAAGTGAAAACCCAGTCTTGGATTTTGTCCACTTCACTGAAGCAGGAGGTGCTTCTGAAGAACCCAGAAGTTCAGAAATGGCTGCCTGCATTGTACAGGGATGGTTGGCTTGCAGCCTCTTAACACTTTGTGATTGTCCCTCTCACCCCATGGCAGCTATTATGTGTTGGTGCCCCCTCCTCATTCTCAAAATTGCAAAATTACCTGCAGGCTGAACAAGACTGGGGACCCTTGCATTATTCCATCGTATCTGTTGCCCCTGCATTCCAAACTGCAGCGAGTTCAAAAACAAATCTGTTGATCTAACTGTTCGGCTGAGGGCCAAACTACATATCGAACAGGAGATGTCTGATGTGGAGGGGAGTGTGGGATTGAGAGAGAGATTACACCTTGCCTTCTGCTGTTTTCCTGATCAGAATAGTTCCTGTGAAGCTGCTGTTAGCTGTACTGGTGCAAAAAAAAAAAAAAAAGACAACTACAATATTGCCATCTGTTTGTCTTACCTCCACCCACAGAAACTTGCCGTTCATGGAGGATTGCCTTCCACTCCTTCAACCTTTTATAACTTGTCCCTTGGAAGCATCAGCAGAGTTAATTAGGGTTGTCTAGCAACTCCCAGAACGGTCACCAAGAGGTCACTGGCATTTAAAGAAGCACACACTGCTTCTATTGTTTTAGGAATTTCAAACCTTTTATTTTTAGACTTTTTACATTTCAAATTTTGCTGCAAACCTGGGGCATTCCAGGCTTGTAGAAAAATACTCCCCATGTGTATAACTCTCACAGCAGCCCAGTAAGGTATTCAAGGCATAACTGTGAGGGGAAAAGAGTGGATACCTAGTTAGTTCATAGCTGAATTGATAATTGAACCAAGGAATTCCTGGTTGACATTTTTAATTACTATGTTATACCAGATTTGTAAACTTTAATGTGCGCTACATGTTTGTCTTCAGAGGACAGAATTTTTATACCCTAAATAGTGCCTTCTCCCTCTCTTTTGGCTTCCAATGAATTCCAAGTATCTGTCACGTCAGTATCTGTCCTCTTACCACCCCATGGCTTCCTGCCCCAGTAGCAGATAAAAATGCATATCCCAAAATTTTGCAAAATAACCTGATAAGAATGTGAAAGGAGTAACTATGTAGTGTTTGTATAAAAGTTGTCCAAGTATGTAAAAATACAGAACTTGGTGTGGGAGTTATAAGATAACTGGACTGTGAGTGACTAGAGATGGGCATGGACTGGACATAAGTTTTCCATGAACTGGGGCCCAGTTCATGGTCCATGGTCCGTGCCCTCCCGCCGACATGGACCTCCCACAACCCTCCCAAGAGGTTTGTAGGGTCCGTGTTGGCAGGGCTTGCAAAAGCCATTTTTTAAAAAGAAGTCTTTTATTTTTTAAATAACAATTACAACTACAATAACGTCTACAAAGAAAACAGTGGTAATAAATTGAAGTACAATTACAATGAACGATCAAATAGGTAGATTATACATAATAGCTTTTACCAACAAATAGAAATGCGTAATGATTAGACAATCAGTAGAACACAAAGTCCATATATTTCTTTAGTATAGACCAAGTCTTATTCGGAGATGTATTAATATATTCAAAGAAAGGAAACCAATTTCTCTAAAAAATTTAGAAGGGTTTTGAGTTCTGTGAAATGACAACATCTGAAGTGCTAATTTATCTGAGACTGCTAAGTCCCACACTTTCATAAACCATTAGTTCAGAGAAGGAGATTTTTTCGATTTCCATCTTTGAGCTATTAACAAAAGCCATTTAAATGAAATGTGTTGCCTTTAAATGGCTTTTGCAAAGCCTCAGGACGCACAATTGAAGGCCGAGCAGCAACTTCACCCAGTGACTTCACCCACTTGGCAACTGCTTGTCAGTTTCCAAAAAAAAGGTCTGGTCAGTTTCAACATCAGTTTCCCCCCTTTGCCTGTGTCCCTTTCTGTTCCCTTTCATTCAACGAACTATCGCTAAAATGTATGTGCAAAACCCTAACCAGGAAGACACTTGCTGGATGCTACTATGCAGCTGTGATAGGGCAATTGTATAATTTAAAAAACCCCAACACTTTGGACGCCACTCCCCAGACCTCACAATTGACATTCCACCCTGATTTAGAAAAGTGTGGTTTTTAAAATTGTAGCTGCAGAATAAATACACCGGAGGAAAAAGAATGGCGCATAAAGGAGGGGTACAGAATACGAAGTCAAGATTAAAGGCTTACTGCTCTGAAAATCTGCAGTAAGATGTGCTTGCACAAGGGGCTTCAGTCATGGTACCAAAGCTTTGGAGCTCCCTCCCCTGGGAGATTTGTCTGTCCTTCTATCCATGTCTTTGGCCAGCATGCCCCCAATAATGATTACTAGCCCTCTTTCCTGGCCCTGTTTATGTGTTTTTATTGAATTATTTTATAATTTAAAATATTGTTGTTAATTGTTCAGATGTTTTAATGCTTTTATGTGTGGCACCATAGGGACCCTGATATAAACAATAAAAGCAGTTCAACAAAACACAACGCATAGACACATACACAAGAACACATAAAGGATGAGAGTTCCATAGGCTTGCTTAGGGAAGGCCAAAGAAAATGGAGAAGTCTTCACCCACTGGGAGAAGAGAGTAATAGAGGGGAGATAATACATCTCCCTGGGGAGGAAACACCATAATTTCAGTGTCACAGCTGACAAGGCCCATTCTCAGGTTGCCATCCATCCAACCTCGGGTGGCAGAGTTATCTGAAGCAGGGCCTCCAATCACCATGGTGATCAGATAGGTTCATAGCCATGCTTGTTTCACACAGCTTCTCTTTGAGGCAGGAAGGTGCTCCTCTTTGTGCATGATCTTCTTGTATCTGTCTCCCCTACCATTAGGCACAAGCTTCAACATCTACTAAAGCCCCCATCTTGCCTGCTAAAGCAGTAGACAGTGATGAAGAAGAGTTACCCTGGTGCTGCATCTGCAATGCAGATGCCACCCTGCGCTGCCATGGCTGCGATGATGACCTCTATTGCCAGCGATGCTTCCGGTAAGTGCAATAAAACCCAGCTTTACTTGCTGTAAATTTACGGTGAGCTTCTGCTGAAGTTGTAGGAAGAAGAGTTGGAAGTAGTCATGATTGGTAAGGATGCCACTGAGGAACGTGTCTAGCATCATTTGTATAACATGACTGCAACAAGCATGATTTGCTTTGGGTATGAATTTATATCTCTCACTTCTTTTTAAAAAAATCTTAAAGAATCTGATTTCTCAGAAATGGACCTAATGATGTGTATATATAGTAGTGGAGCTACTTCCAGACAGCAGCATGGAAACATGCCCTTACCACAGCAGTAGCAAGTGGCACAGGAATAGGTGGGAAAGGCAGCCACACACCCCATTCCCATGCCACTTACTCTGCAGCCACCCCTCCACCCTGTCACACCTGCACATTGTGCAGGGTCCCTCTACAGCCTAGAAGAAGAAGAAGAGATTGGATTTATACCCCGCCCTTCACTACCCAAAGGTATCTCAGAGCGGCTTACAAACTCCTTTCCCTTCCCCTCCCCAAAATAGACACCCTGTGGGGTGGGTGGGGCTGAGAGAACTCTGACACAAACTGCTCTTTTTCAAGGACAGCTGTGCCAGAGCTTGTGACTGACCCAAGGTCACATCAGCAGGTGCAAGTGGAGGAGTGGGGAATCAAACCCAGTTCTCCCAGATTAGAGTCCGCACACTTAACCACTACACCAAACCTACAACACCCCTTTCCCACCCTTTAAAGGGCTCTTATTTTCTTTTCTCCCACTATGCTGTGTTGCTATAGCATTCATTCCACCTTCACAATAGCATAACTAAACACTAAGTTTTCTTCCTGTTTTCAGCCATTTAGAGGCTGTGTACAGCTTTGTGGGAGAAAAAAGCCCTTTGAAGGTCTGTAAGGGAGGATAAATGTGGTGCTTATTTCTGCCATTTTGACGGTGATCTTAGCTCTACCACCTCTCCTGTCATGGCTACAGGGTTGAGCGCCACCTGCAGCCACCCAGCTGTTTCTGTTTTACTTCAGAGAAAATAAAGTTGATGTTTTCTTTGGGGTGAAGGGGGAAGGAAACAGGAGTCAGATGAGTTGTCTGTATGCTCCCCTTTACTGCAGGGGCTTCCTGCTGTCCGGGGGGGGGAGCCTTTGTGGAAGCAGCTTTGATGCAGCATTGGAATGACAAAAAGATTAGAGCCCCACCTGTAAAGAAGAAACAATATTGGATGTAATTCAATGGGAAGTTCTCCTGTGCGCACCCTATTGATATGGGTAGAAGCCATGGGGTACATATATGCAGTTTCTGTACATTTCCTTGGGGCTTGCTTAGGAGGAGATTGTACCTTTGATGATGCCACTCCTTCCTGCAGCTGCACAATCCAGCTGTGATGGCATCCTGACCAGTGCTACATTTTCTCAGAGCTGGACACAAAAGAGCTGAAGCCCCTCCTGTTTGTCAGCTGCACCCATCAGAGTAAAACTTCTTTAATTATTCAAGGTTTGTGAGACCTTGTGTTTCAGGTGGACTAAGAGCTTATAGTTCCTTTGCAACATGCTTTTTGGGCTTTGGCTGAGTGAGTACCCCTGCAGCTGTTGTGGGCTGTTCTGACTGCCCTGGTCTCCTTTCACTAAAGAAGGGTCTCCACTTCCTGTTTGCCTTTCAGGGAAGGCCATGATGAGTTTGATCAGAAGGAGCACCGAACTTCGAGCTATCGCCCTCCTCAGAAGAAAAAATGACACTATAGATGGTGAGAAGAGAAAGGGATGTAAAAAGGGGTGGAGGAAGAATTGCTGCTGAAGTGGAAGATGGGTGGCCATTGTGGACTCCACTGTCAGCTCACTGGACAATGCAATGCTGAGAAGTCTGGAGTGAAAGCATGTGTCCCTGATGAACTCAAGGGTGCCACTGCCGAGCTTAATGGTACACAACATCTGTCCATGGGTAGCTTTGTGAGTGAGCCAGTGATGCTATGGAGGTGAAGAATATCACGCTTTAACATCCACAAAGTGACTCCATAACTGGATGAGGTTTACAACAAGAATGTTGTATAGGTAATAAATTATATACAAGTAAAAAGTGTGATGAATTTTCTTTTGCTAACAGATAAGTCACTGTAGTATCCTAGAATCTGAGAATTTAATACCATTCCACTCATCTCAAGTGCAATCCTAGACAGAGTTATGCCTTCTCAGCCCACTGATGCTGAACTGCAGGCTGTGGAAGGTCAGTAGTTCAGCAGTTTCAGACCCGAGTTGCCGCATGTTCCAAAAACGTCAGAACAGGATCTCCATAATGCCTTTTATTAGAACCAACTACATGACACAGAACAGTGTATAAACTTTCAAGTTCACTAGAATGCTTCTTCAGGCTGAGTGTTATTTAAAAAAACAGAAAAATGTAATTGAACTACAAAATGTCTACTTGTGGTGTCTGATCATGTACTGTCAGATCACAAGGTAAGTCCAGTGTTTAGGTTGCAGGTATAACCATTTTTGCTACTATTTTTGGAGTTGAGACTTCTAGACTCTTCCTCTCTGTTTTAGGCCTGTCTGCTCCAGAATGACAATCTGTGTGACACCACATATTCTTTTGTGGTTGTTTCTATAACCTGTTTTTCAGGTGTTGTGTTTTTTTAAAACTATTTTGGGCCTTGCCTCTTGGCTAAAAGCTTTTGTTGGTCAGTTTTTTAGTGTAGTCTCATTTTGGAATGTATGCTGATAAGGAAGAGGAGGAGATGAATTAGCAGAGTTTCAGAGCTCTCAACTCAGAACTCGGAGACAGGATTTATTAACAAGGTCTTGAGGGTCCAAAAATACACACAGTACTAAAATATGCCACCTTGAACTACAAGGAAAAGGTGTCCTGTCCAGCGTGAGCTGTGGCTAAGCCAGCGCTTTCTAGGTGTGAGCCAACACACGACCACTGAAGAAAGCTTAAATCATCTTTATTAAACTTCACACACATTCAGAAGATCATTTACTCACAATCCTTCAGATAGCTGGGTGGAAAGTTACATCTTGTGATCTAGGTTAGTTCAATAGCCGCAGTGAGAAAGAGATGGGCTTCCCCTCTCCTTGCCGTAAGGGTTGATGAACAAAGAAAACGGAAAAGAACAATACAACTCCTATCTTTGCGCCTCTGAGCTCAGGAAATTACTCTTGATGAGCCAGTCAGAGTGAAGCTTCTGGGACCCCTAACTGTGAACTCCAATTCCCAGGTGCACAAGTCTTAAAGATACCGAGCAGTTTTACTAAACTACAGATAACGCTGACTGGGGGCAACATAAAAGGTGTTGTGTGCACCATGGCACCCATGGGTGCCATGTTGAGGATCCCTGCATTACAGCCCTGAAGCCTCAGCCGTTGCAACAAGTTGTGACTACAGGACTTTTTAAGAATTGAAATTAAGCCTTCTTCTACATCAAGCAACCCTTTTTGTTCAGTCGCACAGTCGAGTCTGACTCTTCACGACCCCATGGACCAGATCACGCCAGGCCCTCCTGTCTTCCGCCATCCTCTGAAGTTTGCTCAATTTCATGTTCATTGCATCGATGACACTGTCTAACCATCTCATCCTTTGCCGTCCCCGTCTTCTTTGACCTTCAATCTTTCCCAGCATCAGGGTCTTCTCCAGTGAGTGCTCCCTTCTCATTTGGTGGCCAAAGTATTTGAGCTTCAGTTTCATTATCTGGCCTTCCAGGGAACAGTCAGGGTTGATTTCTTTTAGGATTGACTGATTTGATCTTCTTGCAGTCCAAGGGACTCTCAAGAGTCTTCTCCAGCACCATAGTTCAAAAGAATCTATTCTTCGGCGCTCGGCCTTCCTTATAGTCCAACTCTCGCAGCCATGCATGACTACTGGGAATGCCATTGCTTTGACCATGCAGACTTTTGTTGGCAGGGTGATGTCTCTACTTTTTATCATGCTGTTGAGGTTCACCATCGCTTTCCTCCCAAGGAGCAGGCGTCTTTGAATTTCATGGCTGCTGTCACAGTCTGCGGTGATCTGGGATCCCAGGAACGTGAAGTCTGTCACTACTTCCACGACTTCCCCTTCTATATGCCAAGGAGTGATAGGGCCGGATGCCGTTGATCTTAGTTTTTTTGATGTTGAGCTTCA